AGCATAATGTATTTTGACTACCATAACAATGCATATATTTTTATGCTATGCCTTCATTACATTTACTTTTTAACTTTATTGTAGGGTAGAATGTATTTGAACCATATTTTAGATACTATTTATGAGGTTCCAATTTTCTACTTAGCACAGTTTTATAGCTTTTGGACACATCACAAGAGGTTATTCTATTAACAATAAGAATTTATGAGATTGTCTTGTGATCGTGTTTGTGTTAGTTTGCTTCACTTACTGTTGATTAAATTAGTGTAAACATTGATATACTGCATTATCCCAGCCTTTATTTGTGGATTTAATCTTGGTTGGAGTAAAGGGGACATTTTCATTATATTTTTAAAGAATGTAGTTTCTAGAGTAAACTTTGTTTTCTTGGGAAAATGGTAATCTTATAAAAATTTCTAAATGTCATTCTAGCTATAGTAGTTTTAAAATACTTTGTTTAGGAAAATTGGGTGCTAATGTGTTAAAAGTGTCCTCTGATGAGATATTTATGTTTGGTTTTTATTGAAGAATAGGTCTTCATATTTGTTTCAAAATATATATGTGAATTGATATTGAAGAGTTTTTATTCCTATTTGAATAAGTGGGAATATGTGCATAATATATGAACAAATGTGCACAATAAACCTGAAAATGAATGTATATTATATGCTATGGCAATAATTTGACCCAATCATGTTCCTTTGTCAGTGGCTATTCCATTATAGCTCCAGGGATTATTAAATAGTGAGATCCAAAGCATTGAGGAGATGTGACCAAGAGGCTAAAGGTATAATGTCTCTTCCATGGCAGTGTTTTTCAAATAATACATACACAGGGAACTTTTTAAAAATATGGGTTCTTAGGTCTCCAACCTATAAATTTATTTGTGTTTTGGTTTCAGGCCAAATTTGAACACTGTCTGTTTATGGAACCGTTTTATTGGAACACAGCCTTGTTTATATTTTGTTTATGGCTGCTTTGCCTCAATGTGGCAGAGAATTGTCTAGTTGAGACACAACCGTATGAAACTATATCAAGACTCTGACCTGCAAAGTCTGAAATATTTACTATCTGGACCTTAACCAGAAAAGTTTGTGAATTGAAATGGAAATTTATTAATTTATATGTTCTTTTCCAGTGTATTTAGAAGGCTTATTGAGCAGAGCACCTCATATCTTAGACCCAAAGTTCCTGAAGAATCCAAATTAGTGCCAGAAGGTTCATTGATAGTCATGGTTATATAAGTCAGAGTAAATTTATGGGAAGAACTGATAAAGCATTGCTGCACTACAGCTGATGGGGTTTTTTTCCTTTTTTTTTTTTTTTTTTTCCAGTTAGTAGAGGCATAAAACATTGTTTTTGTTTGTGGTGTGTTTTTTTTAATCCTCACCTGAGGATGTTTTTATTGCATAGAAAGAAACATTGATGTGAAAAGATAAACATCAATTGGTTGCCTCCTGTGCAAGCCCGGACCCGGGATCTAACCTGCAATCTAGGTATGTGCCCTGACTGGGACTCAAGCCCTGCATGGGACAACGCTCTAACCGACTGAGCAACCTGCCCAGGGTGCATTGTTCTTGATCAGATGTTATTTCCTCTTGATCAGTATTGCCCTATTTAGCCTGTTGTTTAGTCAGCCACTACTTTATGTCAGTCTCTTTTTTCTGCTTCTTGAGTGGGTATTCTGTCTCTTATTAACCCTTGATTTAATTATAACTGAAATTCCCCTGATGTGCCATGTACAAAACTCAAAACAGACACGTCAGCCAATAATAAAATTTTATTACTAAGTGCTAGCAGAGAGAGCTGATCCCAATTGAGTAGGTACAAATGAGTAGGTGCAAATACATTTTCTGAAAAGGTTTGTGAATTTTTGAGGGCGGGGGAAGAAGTTGCCATTTTGTGGTTTCCACATGGCTATCACTTCTCTTTTTTTAATGTTTAGCCCCTCAAGAGATTTGATTATATTGCAGTAGAATATTGGTTTTTTGGAAGTCTAAACATCTTAAGCTTTCGAGTAATTGAATGTTTCACAAGAATTTTTATAGACTCTCCATTATTCTATGGAAATCACTGAAGAACTATTTGCTGTAGGGTTTGGTGTTACATTTAAATGTGACCTGCTTTGGTATAATGGCAGCCTATTTTCGATGGTTTGGACATGATGGTGAAAAGCAAATTGGATAGTAATAGTTATATTGCAGTGGTCTAAAATATAATACTCTACTTATGATCAGTTTTTAAAAAGTTATTCATTAAAAAATTGAATTCATTTCCTACAGTGAACTAAGAACTGCATATTTGGGATGCTACATTATTGGAACTTGACTTAAACTTTTATAGTCACAAAAACAAAGATAGATGTTTATAATGGTTACATATACTCTTGGAAGTGATCTAGGATTTTTACAATTTGGGGTATTTGGGTTGAAGATATATGTTAATTTAAGTAAACTTGAAATCTTTGATTACTTCTCAAAAGGATTATTTAATAATTTTAATAATATTCCATCATATGTAGGAGCAGCAAAAAATTTCAAACTGGGAGAAGTGAATATGGGTACTGTTATGGTTATAGTGGTGTGTGTTTTTAATATCTTTTTAAAGGTTTTCTAAATAAGTCCAGATGAAAACGATTGCTGAGTCCTTTACACCCTGCATATATACACTATCAGAGGACACTTTATTGAATTAAATTATTTCTATGTCATATTAGATGATTCAGATACTCCTTTCTGTCTTACTTTCCATTAGAGTTTCAGAGAGGCTTATGATCAGGAAAAAATTTCATATATCTTTTTTACTCCTGGAGGAAAAGTATATACTCGGTGCATACATAACCTCCTCTGACTACTCAACCCAGCTGTGGTCCTTTATCATTTTTAATATGGTTTCTATTACCTGTCACCTTGCTTTCTAACTATTTTCTGACTTGGCTGTCCACTAATTGAACTCTAAATTTTTTCAGGTCAGGAGACTTTTTCATATTGTCGTCACATAGATGTGAGCTGGGAGAATTAAGTAGTTGTTTGATGTCTGATTTTTTAAAAAAAATCCTTACCCAAGGATATGTTTATTGGTTTTAGAGAGAGAGGAAGGGAGAGAGAGAAAGAGAAACATCAATGTGAAAAAGAAACATCGATTGGTTGCCTCCGGTACGTGCTATGATTGGGAATTGAACCTGTAACTTTATTGTTGTATGGGATGATACTCCAACCAACTGAGCCACCAGCTGGGATTGGTGTCTTGATATCAGTGTGTGATGTTTCAAATGCCAGTGCAGCTCAATCACATGGTTTTCAGTGTTCTTTATGGGCTACCATACTCACTGACAGATGTTAACATCAGTATTTTCAAAAAATAGGTGGCATTGAGCCACTACTATTTTTCTAGACTTCATAATGGAATAACATAATGAAGAGTGAATTTTAAACAGTTAAATGACCACAATTTTTGTGTACTTGGTTTTCAACACACCTAATATTTCAATATGCTGTTTCCAATTGATTATCCCTTCAGAGCATTAGACTTACAGGAAGACTTGGAGGTTTCCATTTAGAACAGTAGAGGATACAGAGGGGATTTCAGAGTATTTTAGGTGCGGATACCTCTGTAGAGAGAGATATAGTTAAGAAGTTTGGAGAATTTACAGGTTCTCTATTAGGAAATGTCTGGTGTGTTGAGCATTCTCACCACTGTTGTCAAAATTATTTTGGGTTTATTTTTTGTTTGTAAATGACATGATTGGTTTATTATTCCACTGTGTTGTAGGTATAGCCCATATCTTTTCATTTGAAATGGTAAGTTCTAATCTTACTTGGTTCAAAATGATAAGATCTTCTAGTGACATTACCTTTTTTGAGGGTCAGAGAAGAGGAGAGTCAAGATTGTCAAATAGTAGTTTTCAACTGAAGCAAACACATTTTTATAATATCTAGTATATGTAATATGAATAAGAACTTTAATTATTAAATAGTTTGAATTAATAACAAAACATTTAATTTAACCTGTTACTTCTGCCTTGTGACTTCTTGATATAATATTTAGAGCCTCTTTACATTTTTTATATAATTTTCACAAGGTGATTATATAAACAAAAATTTTGTAGGCCAATCAGTATCTAGTATCTTCTGTACTTCTTATAGAGGCAGTAAGCTCTGGTAGTATCACTTGAAATGGCAGAAATTTATACTGGATCTAACAAGAAAATATGAATGTCAGTGTCCATGTGTAGTTATTAACTAAATTACTAGTGATGCAGGGAGTAGGAATTTGGGTTTGTAAGCATGCTCTGCTGATGAAATGTATTTGTTTCTGCTTAAGATTTCAACTAATTAAAAGTACATGGGTAAGTTTGCCTCTTCGTCTTATGATATCCTGCATATATTGTATACTATGTTTTAAATTCTTCTTCTGGATGTAAGTATCTCTAAAGTAACTTAACTACTGCTTAAATAATTAAAAATTACTATACAGTAGGTCAGTGATGGCGAACCTTTTGAGCTCGGCGTGTCAGCATTTTGAAAAACCCTAACTTAACTCTGGTGCCGTGTCACATATAGAAATTTTTTGGTATTTGCAACCATAGTAAAACAAAGATTTATATTTTTGATATTTATTTTATATATTTAAATGCCATTTAACAAAGAAAAATCAACCAAAAAAAATGAGTTCGCGTGTCATAGGTTTGCCATCACTGCAGTAGGTCCTTGGGTTACGTCGGAGATCCGTTCCTATGGCACGACATAAAGCGATTTTCGTAAATCGGAAACTTACATAAGCACCTACGTCACCCACATGGAGCACATACACATCAGTAATGAAGTGAAACAGTAAAAAAAAATTTAAAAGGAAAGATAACAATTCCTGACCTTTACTTGTGGTAAATAAATAATAAAAAACATAAAGCACATATGTACATACGTCGAAATGACGGAACTTTTTTTTTTTATAAATGGGAGATGGCGACATAACCAAGAAACGATGTACATCGAGTCCGATGTAACCCGAGGACTGTCTGTATATTGAATCTGTTGCTTTGAGTTATCTACTTAGGAAAAATATATATTTTGACAGAATTTCAAAGCTTCAGTAGATTAAGATAATTTGCTTACTTTCTAATATTACAAGCAGAAAAAGATATTATCTGTTAAATGTGTATTTAATTTTTCACACATTGGAACACATAGGCTTTGTGTGCTTCTTCTGCTTTCTTCTGTTTGTGGGACCAAGTTGGAATAGCTTCTCGTGCAGTTTATATTTGTTCTTTGGCTTAATCTTTCATACTTTAATCTGGTTAATCATGGTAGCAGTTTTGAATTTGATAAGGAAGTGTACTGGGTAAGGGGTTATGGTTAAAAAATGTAAACTAGTCTCGTGAACTTTATGATACTATATTAAAAGTAATTGTGTTTTTATAGTAGCTGTGAGATCGTTATTGCTGATTTCTTTAAGAATTTGAGATAAAATAAATTTGAAGAGTAATTAAATTCTAAAATTTCAGTTTTTAAAAGCACCCCTTCAAAGAGTTTGCCATGACAATTGAAAATTATAATCTTAAAAATATTCCTGAGTTATATAGATTAAAAATAAAATTCTCAGCTGAATATAAATTTAATTGTTTTGATGCATTCTGGATTCTATGTTATTATATTTAATTCATGTTTAGTTATAATTCATGTTTAGTATTATAAAAAGTGGCATTTAATTTTGCTACATAGTCAGTTGAACTTGACAGTGACATCAGAATAATCTATACTAATAAAAGCCTAGGTAGTCCTCACGCCCTTGCGTGTGATGTCACAAGATGGCCACCACAAAGATGGCTGCTACAAGATGGCGGCACGCACAGTGGAGGCGGGGCCTGGCAGCCGCTCCACGCGGTAAGGCCTGGGGGTCCCACAGCTCCGCATGGCATGGAGGAGGCCGGTCCTGGTGTCTCCACTGCCTTGCGCGAAGTAGGTGGGTCCTGGAGGAGGAGGTAGGTCGCGGCAGGGGAGGGCAGTTGTAGGTGATCAGGACTGCAGGGGAGGGCAGTTGGGGGCGATTGGGCAGGTAGAGGAGGGCAATTGTGGGCAATTGGGCTGGCAGGGGAGGGCAGTTGTGGGTGATTGGGCCAGCAGGGGTGCAGTTAGGTGTCCATCAGGCTGGCAGCCAGAAGCAGTTAGGGGCAATCAGGCAGGCAGGCAGGCAGGCAGGCGAGCGGTTAGGAGCCAGTGGTCCCAGATTGTGAGAGGGATGTCCGACTGCCGGTTTAGGCCCAATCCCTGTGCAATCGAGCCTAAACTGGCAGTTGGACATTCCCTGAGGGGTCCCAGATTGGAGAGGGTGCAGGCTGGGCTGAGGGACAACCCCCAGTGCACGAATTTCGTGCACCGGGCCTCTAGACTGTTTACTAAGTTACTTGAACCAGACAAAAAATACATTGTCGAGTAAATCTAGTTTAAGAGGAGGTATGTATCTTTTGATTAATGAATACAGTGAGCTAAGAGTAAGTCCCCCTCCTTACATTTGTTGTTCCCTCTGTTTCTGGTATGAAATTTAACAAATATTATTTTGTGATTAATACTTGTGATATAAAGTAGGATAATTGTGCAAAAACATTTTTAAAGTTTTTTTTTAGATAGACTTTTTAAAAGTAGTTTTAAGTTCAAAACAAAATTGAGCAAAAGGTATAGAACATTTTCATGTGATTCCTTTTCCCACATACAGATTCCATTATCAAATTTCCACAGTACAGAAGTGGTACATTTGTTTTAATTGACACATCCTCATCACCCAAAGTTTATCGTTTACATTAGGGTTCATGGTTGGTGTTGCACAATCTCTGGGTTCGGACAAATGTATGATGTTATGGATACACCATTATAGTATCACACAGAGTAAGTAGTTTCACTGTCCTAAAGTTTTTGATGTTCCACCTGTTCATCTGTCCTCCTTCCCCAATCTTCCTAACCTCCGGCAACCAGTTTCTCCATAGTTTTGCCTTTTCCAGAATGTCATATAGTTGGAATCATAGTAGCCTTTTGATATTGGCTTCTTAGTATTATTCATTAAAGTTCCTCTGTGTGTTTTCATGACTTGATACCTCATTTATTTTTAGTGCTAAATAATATTCCTTTGTCTGGATGCACCACAATATGTTTATCCATTCACTCACTGCAGGCCATTTTAGTTGCTTCCAAGTTTTGACCATTAATAAGGCTGCTATAAACATCTGTGCAGGTTTTTGCGTAGATATAAATTTTCAACTCCTTTGAGTAAATACCAAGGAGCGTGATTGTTGGATTCTGTGGTAAGAGTACTAGTATGTTTACTTTCCTAAGAAACTGTTAAACTGTCTTCTAAAGTGGATATACCATTTTGAATTTCTACTAGCAATAAATGAGAGATCCAATTGCTCCACGTCATTGCCAACGTTTTATGTTGCCAGTGTTTAAGATTTTGGCCATTCTAATGGTTGTATTTTGGTGTCTCATTACTTTAATTTGCAATTCCATGATGATATATGATGTAAAGTTTCATTTTAACAATGACAGAACTGAAAAACATTTCCCCAGTATTGATGGGTGCAGATATTTTGTCATGCATGTATTCAATTTGAGAGGAAAAAACCACCATGGATTGTATATATTACAAGATCATCTTATGTCACAGAAAGTATTTTCCCCTTTTCTGTCTAGCAAGTTTGCCAAACGTTCTCTTTTGGTTATGTTGGAAAGTTTGCATAATATTATTTGAGTTGTATCAATGAGAACATGTCTTTACCTTTTTAGTTTAAAATTTATTTACTTTTTAAAGGAAAAGATACTTTGTTGATGCACACCTTTTAATATCTTAACACCTTTTAAAAGAGTGAATAATTTATTGGCAAAGGGGCCTACTTTTCAGATTTTTTTCTTCATACCTATTTTAATATGTCACGTACTTGATTGCTGTCCATTCTTCAGAATATATTGTTTATTACCTAATACTTCTGGGTAGTAACGTCGTCTAATTTCTCCCATGACAATTTGACTGGCTATCTAACCGTCTTATTATTCCTTTACTGCTCTAATGAAATAAAATATAAATTTTCAAGTGGTAAGTGTAATTTCTTTTTAGGAAAAAGTTTTGGAATATTTTATGATGAAAAGTTGTGTCTTGTTAACTGCCAGAACTAATACATTTCTCTGTAATCATATTTCTTTTTTTAAAAAAATGTATTTTATTGACTTTTTACAGAGAGGAAGGGAGAGAGATAGAGAGTCAAAAACATCGATGAGAGAGAAACATCAATCAGCCGCCTCCTGCACATCTCCCACTGGGGATGTGCCCGCAACCCAGGTACATGCCCTTGACCGGAATCGAACCCGGGACCCCCCAGTCCGCAGGCCGACGCTCTATCCACTGAGCCAAACCGGTTTCGGCCATATTTCTTTTAATAGATTTAAATGCTCTATATCAGTATTTTTATAACAGGATTTTTAGCATTTTCCTTATTAAGACAGGGAATCTCCTGGCCGGTGGTTTGGCTCAGTGGATAGAGCGTTGGCCTGCGGACCGAAGGGTCCTGGGTTTGATTCCGGTCAGAGGCACACGCCTGGGTCCTGGTCTCGATCCCTACTGGGGGACGTGCAGGAGGCAGCCGATCCATGATTCTCTCTCATCAATGATGTTTCTATCTCTCTCCCTTCCTTTCTGAAATCAATAAAAATATATTTAAAAAAAAAAAAGACATGGAATCTAAATGGCTCATGGTGATCCCTAGACAATCCATAGAATCTTTTTAGGGACATATAGAGATGTCTTTATAAATTAAAGTAGAGAAATGATTGTGGCTTATTGAATCCAAATAAGAATTTAGGTTGATCACTGTGTTAGATAAACTTTTAAAAAAATATTCACTCTGTTTTACAGTTCCTTTTCCTTATTATTGGATTTTTAGAGAGAGGAATGGAGGGAGGGAGGGAGGGAGAGAGAGAGAGAGAGAGAGAGAGAGAGAGAGAGAGAGAGAGAGAAAGAAAGAAATGTCAATGTGAGAGAGTCCCCAACCTGGGTATATGCCCTGACTAGGATTCGACTGGTTGCCACCTGTACATGCACATGCCCCAACCAGGGGACAGGTTGCAAACCCACAACACAGGCACGTGCCCTTGACCTGGAATAGAACTGCCGATGCTCCAACCACTGTGCACACCGTCAAGGGTTATACATAATTTTAGCTTTATTTTTGTACCATGTAAAACCTTTAAATTAGGTTACCTAGAAAAATAAATATAATATGTTTAAAACCACAGATTGATATCTTTAGTATTAAAGGAAAAAAATCCTTACATTACACAAAATAACGTCAGATGCTGCACTTTAGGGTATATTGCTTTAATTAATTTACATCAGTGCAAATTTTCTGCTATTTTATGGTTTTCAAAGTTTTTGGTTTTGAAATCCTATTTATAGACTATTAAAAATTAGGACCCCAAAGAGCTGTTGTTTAGGTTATATCAGTGTTTACCATATTAGAAATTTAGGAGGAGAAATTTGTGTGGGGGGCGGGGGAGGGGAGGGAAGGGTTTTAGTGGGAAGAATGGCCTTATTTTATTTTTATATATATATATATTGCAAACTTCTTTAATGCTCAACTGTAATGTAGTAGGAAGAGCGGTATTGTTTTACTGTGTTGTAATTTATTTAATGTTTGCCTTTATGGAAAATGGCTGGCTTCCCATATTTTCTTCTGCATTCCATTGATTGCAAAATGTTCTTGGTTAAAGTACATGAAAAATATCTGACTTCACACTGGAGATGTGTTTTAACTTTTTCTGGTAATTGTGGATATGCTTGTTTGATACTATAGTAAAACTTGATAGGCATTAATTTCCATTACAATCATATTGGTCTACTTTGAACTTTGAATGGCTCTCTTACCCAGGCACGTTTCGTAATGTCATGTACCCAACATTCGAAAAATACTGGTTTATCAAGTTACACAAATATTTCAGATTTTAATGTATTTTATTATACAAAATTAAAAACCACATCTTAATACCAAAACTGATGTCATCGTAAAATGTCTGCAAAAATTTGCCTGTCTAATGCTGTCTCAAGAAAAATTCTTGTTACAAGCCAAAAGGGTTTCATTCAGCTTCTAACCCAATCACAGTAATTGTTTTTCTTGAAACAATCACCATACTTCATAATGCAGCAGACATGCTTTAATGTATATATCCTGTGTTGTTGGATAGAATATTAAAAAGATATGTATCCAAGGATAGTGATTTAATAAACAATTTTAATTGCTTCATCCAGGTATCATAATTGAAATTTTTAAGCTGCTATTGTATGCATGTGAAGAATACAATGATTTCTAGCAAAAATTGAATACAAATGCTTCGATTTTTGCCCAGAAAAACTGGATTTTTGCCCACAATTGCTTTTGCACTATCCACAAATGTCGATAGAGTGAAAAGCCCGAATAGATCATAACATTTTAACTATGTTCTAGAGTTAATAAGTCATGAAACAGTTTTGAATCTGTGCACTTCATGAAATGGTGTGGGGACTCTGAGTACTTCAAGAATTGCTATTTGAATGAAATGTTGCTTTGATATATACTTCTGAAAATCAGTCATACTTTGCTTGATTTGTTGGTAATATGTTAATTTAAGCTTTCTTCAGTGACAAGCTTTCAGGGATACCTATGCATAACTCTTAATAGACAGCATACCTTCTTATAAACATTGTAAGAATAAACTAAGAAAATTGTGTCTTTTGTTAGTTTTTGTTGGAATTCTTTAAAAATGAAGGTGTCTTATGAAAATGAAAAATTTCATGAACTCTGTTTTGGCAAAATTTTATAGGTCAGCTCAACCACTTACTATATGTATGTATGACCTTGATAAGTTATTTAAAAGTTCTGTGCCTCAGTTATAAAGATCTCTAAAATAGGATAACAATAAACCTACTTACAGGGTTGCTATGAGGTTTAATTGAATTAATTAAAAACAATTTTCATAGCTTTATCGCACTGTAGTAGTCTTTTGAGGTTTTCTTTACATATAGGTTGTCTCCTGTTAAACCACAGCTCTTAATTTATGCTAAAGTAATGAAGCATTATTAAAATTTATATTATAAAAACGTCACACATACTGTGAGCCAGTTCTAATTTGAAATATATAAGAATAATTTATAGAAGTGAATTGCTTCTATATGTATTGCTTCTTGAGTGGGTACACAGTTATAGTGAATTTATTCAAGTGATTCTCCTTATTGATATATTAAGTTATAATGAGATTTACTGTCTTAAATTCCTTTGATTACATCTCTGCCTCTTTCATTTTACTACAAGTATATAGCAGTGGATTTATAGAAAGAAACAGTAACCTTACGACATTACTAGGAACCTGAAAACTGCTCATTCTAAAATAGTTTAAAAAATGATCTGTCATCTAATTATACTGCCTTTTTATTTATTTATTTTTATTTTATTTTATTTTACTGGGTAAGCTTTTTTTTTTTAAATATATTTTATTGATTTTTTACAGAGAGGAAGGGAGAGGGATAGAGAGTTAGAAACATCGATGAGAGAGAAACATCGATCAGCTGCCTCCTGCACACTCCCTACTGGGGATGTGCCCGCAACCAAGGTACATGCCCTTGACCGGAATCGAACCTGGGACCCTTGAGTCCGCAGGCCAGTGCTCTATCCACTGAGTCAAACCAGTTAGGGCTATACTATCTTTTTTAAAGTTATGAGTGAAGCTATATAAAAACACTAAATTATACTCTTTAAGGAAATCTCAACACTAATAAATTGAATGTATGTGTGTTTAGTGAAACATGCTATACTTTACAATATAAATTGGTATTTTACCAGTGATATTGCTACGTTAACATGGATTATTGTAAGGTTTTTATTATATTATTTATAGAAATATATTTTAGAATTGGAGCATCAGGAAGGGAATGTTAATGCCACTGTTGCATAATTGACTTAAAACCATAGATCTCTTCACTGTGTTAATATGATTTTCACAAAATTGTGTTAACTAAGAATATGGAATAATAGAACAATTTAAGAATATTTTTTAAAAGTACTTTGTGAATAATAAAGCTAAACATGTTATTTCAGAAAGTGATAGCTGCCCTGACTGGTTTGGCTCAGTGGATAGAGTGTCGGCCTGCAGACTGAAGGGTCCCAGGTTCGATTCTGGTCAAGGGCATGTACCTTGGTTGCGGGCACATCCCCAGTAGGGGGCGTGCAGGAGGCAGCTGATCGATGTTTCTAGCTCTCTATCCCTCTCCCTTCCTCTCTCTAAAAAATCAATAAAATATATTTAAAAAAAAAAAAAAAAGAAAGTGATAGCTATAGGTAAAGCTGAAGTTATAAAAAGATAATAGAAATGGTAGTCTCTACACCTTAACCCCACCAGTGAATCATAGGCATCAAGTTAGAGTGTTAGGGTATATGAGGGGGATTTGAAAATTGAAGCTTCAAACAGTGAGACTGTAATGATTACCTTCTCTAAACTGCATTTCTAATCTTCGTAGTTAAGTCAAATATAAAAGTAAAAATACAAATTGAACCCCTGTTTTTAATCCTCACCCGAGGATATATTTCCATTGATTTTTAGGGAGAGTGGAAGAGAGAGGGAAAGATAGAAACATTGATGTGAGAGACACATTGATCGGCAGCCTCCTGCATGCCCTGTACTGGGGATCGAGCCCACAACCTGGGCATATATCCTGACTGGGAATAGAACTATGATCTCCTGGTTCATAGGTTGACGCACAGGGCTAAAATTAATTTTAAAAGTAAAAAAATTATGCTTTCTTTAGATTCAGACATTGTTACTTTTGTCTGAGTATGTTTTTTAGGATCACTACATTTAACACATTTGTCTGATATTGGAAAAGATAATCAAATAATAGTGCAAATTGCAATTGTAATATGTTGAGTTATTTCGCCAAATGTAGTATGTTTCACATATTTTATACATTTATATGACCTTTTGTGTTCACCTCAAGAGCATTTTGTTTCATAACTTGCCAACTGTGTAATACCACTTTTATTTAGGTTTCCAAATAAAAACACTGTTCTAATGAAGGAAGGGAGTGTTACATTGAGTATTCAATAATTGCTGTGTTTTGTGGAGACTTTTATGGTAACCCTGTATTATATTGGTCATGGGTAAAATAATGCTTGAATACTTGAATAAAAAGGCAAGGATGAATTACAGTATTTCAGAAGTGAAAATAATCTATAACTGTTTTTAGCTTAGTGTCCCACAGCTGTTTGTATTGTATGTATGAATGTGTTTGAATATAAAAGTGGTAACAGTCATTTCTGTTTGAAGACTTTAGTGATCTGGGAGGAAAAAATAATTGGCCCTGGGGGTTATTATTACGAGATCTTAAAAAAAATCTAGGCATGTGTCTTTGATCTATGGAATAAAAACATTAAAAATATTCTCTGGTAAATTTCATGTAATCTGACTTATTTATAATCTAGCATTATAAACTGGGTGCTTTAAACATTGTAGTATGTTAAGCCTGGGAGACTGAAGTTTCTTTTCAGTGCTCTTATTAAGTAAGAGGTGTTGGAAAATTAACATTCTTTAATGGAAAGTGTTGTCCCAATTTATTCTTTTCTTTTTTATTTTAGATGGGAAATGTGATAAGATCGATAGGTTGACTGTGATAACTATGTTTACTTACAGAGAGAACAGGAAATGAGAATGGGTGATATGGGTCCCCGTGGAGCAATAAACATGGGAGGTAGGGATTGGAAGCAAAGGCTTCTATAACTTATTTGTAATTCTTTGGGCAACGGTATATGCTATTTGTGGTATCTACATGTCAGTAACAAACTGAGGTTTGGAATCAACATTTTAATGATGAAATCTCTTACATTTATGAAATTAAAAGATACAAGTATATTTAAAAATATATGCCTAGGGAGAATTTTTTCATTTTGTTTATTTGAAGGCTAAAATAGGCAGTATCTTTTGTTTGTTTATTAAATATGTTTTTATATTTTTTTTAGAGAGGAAGGGAGAGGGATAGAAAGATGGAAACATTGAAAAGAGAGAAATATCTCTTGGCTGCCTCCTACACACCCCTTAGTGGGGTGGGGATCAAGCTGCAACTTGGGCACGTGCCCTGACCTGGAACGAACCAGTGACCTACCTCTTGGTTCATGGGTCGACGCTTAACCAGTGCAGCACACCAGTTGGGCTGTATTATCTTTTAATAGACTTAATGAAAAATACCTGTAACCAGGTTTTGATACAATATGAAACTTGTTCAGTTAATTGCATGGTATAATATTTCAAAAATCAAATTTCATGTCTTTAACCTTTTTACTTTGGAAATTTGGTAGTTTTTGAGTTGTAGAGTATCTAAACTTTTGGGGAGTATTTTAGAAATTTCTATTTTAAGATAACCTTTTGTGTAACTTTGTGTTGTGTAGCTATTTTTATTTATTTTACTAAGTGTTGGATATTTTGCCGTAACCTACAGTATTGTGCACAGAAACATGCTCTGTGGAGACATTTATGACTGTGAAGGAAATGAGATGTCTTACACATTTAGGTTAATATATAACTTTAGAGTTGATATAGTTGTGTGTATGTGTGTGTTTTAAATTACGTTTTTATTGATGT